CACCCTGTGTTCCACTGTCACAGTCTGCTCTGGGCCAAGCCTGCCTGCTCCCCAACGAGGCTGTGGACTCCTCAGACTCCTGTTCACCTCTGTACACCAGGGCCTCGCATGGCACCTGGCAAAGCCCACAGTTCTGAGTGGTTATTGTCCCAGCTTTTTCCACATAATGCTCACAACCACCCACCTTTGTTATATCAGCAGAGCAAGGAACTTATCTAAGGAAATGTGGCTGGCAGGTAGCTTTGCGTGGGTTCACTCTCATCCCTGTCCCAGCACTGATCATCATCCCCATGGGACAGACAAGAGAATGAGTCTCAAAGACAGCAGGGTCATGACTGGATGTGGGCACCTGGCTCAGAGCCCCGTCCTGCCCCCTGCCCCAGGCTGCCTTCCCACACAGTCGGTGGCCACTGTCCTTGGCCCCATTGACTTGTGACTCTCCCTCCCCAAAAGCCACTGAGGCCTAGTGGCTCTGGTCACAGCAAGCAGGGCTCATCCTGCCTGCCTGTCACGCCCAGTGATGGCCAAGGCCTAGGGTCAGGCCCCGTGTGAGGGGGGTGGTTTAAAGGACACTTACACGTAAGCCCACCTACACAGGGCGAGGGGACATTCATTCCAGCATCTTCCACCCGTCCTCTGGGGTGCTTGGGGAGGAAGAGGCGTTGGTAACACGGAAAGGAGAAAGGGCCATGTTGTCTCTGGGCCCTCGGTAAATGCCCTTCTGAAGGAGAACTGAGCGGCAAGCAGCTGGACTGGCCGCAGAAATGGCTCTCGGGAGGGGGACTCCGCCCTGGTCAAGGTCAGATGTTTCCTTCCCTTCCGCGCTCAGAAGGAAAGCACACCCAGGCTCCCAGGGCAACGGGTAATAGCAGAGGGATTTCATCTGTCGTCATACTGAGCTACCGCCCCCAACTCAGCACAAGGGGAGTCTCACTGAACACAGTGGCCGTGTCCCTGGAGAGGCGTGAAAATCAGATCATCGTAAACAGAACCACCCCTAAGGCCAGGGAAGGAACCCTGCAGGGTCACACTTCCTTTTGGGTGTGTCTCATTCCCTCGCTCAGCTGGACTGGGCTTGGATGAGCCCGATCTGCCACCTACTGCCCGGGAGGCCTGGCCCCCGAGCCCAGGGCCCGTCCATAGGTGATTCTGTGCCTGTAGAGCCCAGTGTGGCTCAGGACACAGCGGGGAGCCCTGGCACGGAGCCCGGGGAAGGAGCGTGAGCTCACCTTAGTTAGGTTTGTTTTTTAAAGTGTTTTGGTCCAGTAAGGTATGTATTATACAGGTCTTTTCCTTATTTCTCATATTTTGTACCAGCTGTAATCTCACCACTTCCTATTCAAATCTCAGTCTGTGCAGCAAAGGAAACCTCAACAAAATGACAAAATGAAATGACAACCTACTGAACGGGAGAAGGCACTCGACAATGATACATCCATTAAGGAGTTAATACCCAAAATACTTACTAGAAGGAACTCATATGACTAAACTCCAAAAACAATCTGATTAGAAATGGGCAGAAGACCTGAATAGACATTTCTCCAAAGAGGACACACAGACAGCCAATAGACCTAGGAAAAGATGTTCAATGTCACTAACAGGAAATGCAAATTAAGACCACACATATCACCTCCCACCTGTCAGAATGGCTGCCTTCAATAAATCAACGAACGACAGTGTTGGTGAGGAGGTGGAGAGAAAACCCTTGTGCACTGTTGGTGGAAATGCAGACTGGTACAGCCACCAAGGGAAATAGTATGGAGATTCCTCAAAAAATTAAAAATAAAACTTCTACATGATCTAGCAAGCCCACTTCTGGGTATTTATCTGAAGAAATTGAAAAGACATATGCATCCCTATGTTCATTGCAGCATTGTTTGCAATAGCCAAGCTATGAAAACACCCTGAGTGTCCATCAGTAGACAGATAAAGAAGAGAATATGACTCTTGTACTGAGTGAAATATGTCACACACAGAAAGACAAATACCACATGATTTCACTTATATGTGGAATCTACTAGTAAAACAAACAAAATCTATATATATAAAAGCCTAATATGCAAAGTGTCCCCTTGGGAGTTCGACCCATCAGGAGTTTGATCGCTCACTATGATGCACACCGACCACGATGGGGCAGCGTGGAACAAAGGGAGGCCCCGGCCGGCAGCTGCTAGGGACCTTACCCATGCACGAATTTTATGCACTGGGCCTCTAGTAAATAGATAAAAACAAACAGACTCATAGGTACAGAGAACAAAGTAATGGTTGCCAGAGTGGAGGGGACTTGGGAGACTGGGAGAAAAGGTGAAGGGATTAAGATGTACGAATTGCCAGGTATAAAAACAGTCACAGGGATGTTAAGTACAGCACAGGGAATACAGTCGATAATATTGTAATAACTGTGTATGGTGTCAGGTGGTTGTAGACTTATGGGTGAGCACTTCATAAGGCATATACATGTCTAATCACTATGTTTTACACCTCGAACTAATAAAATATTGTATGTCAACTATAATTGAAAAAAAAAGTTAAAAAAAATGCACAGATTAGCAGCACCTAATGAAATATTTTGCTGTACTTTAAAGTGTTTCAAACCAAAATATTCACAAAGGTTCATTGGAGTAAGGACTGTTCAGTTATACAACGTTAAGAAGTAACGATAATAAGTGCTGGTAAAAAGGAAAGAAGCATCTGTGCTAGGCAGAATAATGGCCCCCAAAATGCCTGAACCCTGCTCCCTGGGACCCGTGAATGTGCCCCTTTCTGTGGCAGAGGGGACCCCACAGCTGTGACTCGGGGTTTCGGAAGAGGGAGGTTACCCAGGCCTGGTGTGGGCACAGGGTCCTTAGAGGGGGGAAGGTGAGGGGTACTGCACTGCGGCTTTGGCGATGGAGACCACCAGCTGGCGGTGCCGGAAAAGGTGGGGAAACAGATGCACCCTGACTTCCGCCCTGGAAGTCCCATTCTGGTGTCTGCCCTCCAGGACTGTAGTACAGTGCATCACAGCTGTGGGGTCCTGAGCCACTAAGTGTGTGACAGTAGCTGTGGGAGGTCAGAGTTCACCAGCCCTGCGCTCACAGCCACAGCCCGCCCTCCAAGTGCACCCTGGGCCCAGACCACTGGCCCTCCAGCCCACCCTCTGCCCAGCACGCAGGAGCCACTTAAAACACAACCAGATTGTGAGCTCCCTGCGGGAGCCTTCAGCTGTGCCCTTCACTCCCTGCCCCTCTCAGGGCACTTCCTGCCATCTTCAGGCAGCTGGCCCCTCTGGCTGCATTTGTAACCTAAACCTTTATACTATCCTAGAGGCCTGGGGCACGGATTCATGCACCCTCTAGCAATCTGGGACCTCTCGGGGGATATGGGACGGCCAGTTTTGGGATTGGAACCAGCAGTCCCACATCCCCCGAGGGATATAGTAGTGTGTGAAGCGGCAGGCGGCCAGGGAGGAGCCCGAGTCCGGGCTGGGTGCCACACTACTCCCACTCAATCCGGCCCCACTGTGCCTGTCACTGCTGCCGCTCGGTAGTGCCGCTGCAGCGTGCTCACCAGCCGTGAGCCCGGCGTCTGGAGCCCAGCAGTCAGCTGAGTGGCGCTACCACTGTGGGAGCGCACTGACCACCAGGGGGCAGTTCCTGTGTTGAGTGTCTGCCGCCTGGTGGTCAGTGCACGTCATAGCGACCTGTCGAATGGTCGTTCGGTCGTTCAGTCATTTAGGCTTTTTAGCATGTCATATATAGATGACATGCTAACGCCCCTGTGAGCTCCAGATCCAGGAGAACCTGCCTTGTTCCCCGTTCCATCCTCTCTGCCTGGGACAGTGCTTCCCACTGTGTGTTCGAGAGAGATCCTGGGATGAAGGAAGGCATGAATGTCCTGCAGGGTTTCCCTGTACATGGCAGGGTATGCCCTCCCTAAAAGAGTGTTTTAAGTCCTGTCCTTAGGAACTCACAGATCACAGCATCGCATAGGCCCACTCAGCAGCACCTCCTGTCTGGTCGCCCAGAACTACGATGTCGGCTGTGAGTGCTGCTGCACGTCCCCTCATGTTTTTATCCACGTGTGCACCACTGTCTCCTTTCCCTCCCACATGAGCCCACGACCCTTTTCCCATGCGGAACGCCACGCCTCTGAGGCCGGGTGGGAACACGGACTCTGTGCGGTGTCCTGACTGACATCACTACTCCGTGTGCTCCGTTTCCCCCGATCTCCACCTCTCACGTGTTGCTGGAGAAGTACTGTGTTTTCCCTTCCCCCGTCTCATGACAGGGCCCCGACCACGTGCCCAGGTCACGCACAGGCCAGCGACCTCTCGAGAACCATGCAGCTCCTTCCCTCACGTCTGCAGCTGAGGGAGCCCTGTAACCCAGGTCCTCAAATGTTGCTTCTCTTTCTCTTTCTCTACAACCTACTCTTCGGTCTTTTCTGAGGCTCCAGCCGACAGCCGAGCCAGGAGGCCCCGGACCCCACTTGGTTGTAGCTGCGTCCCCATCGCAGGCTCTACGGGTGGGTCAGCACATGCGCTCCTCTGTCGCCTCTTCACCGCCCCGCGCCCCGTGTGTGATAACCAGTGTCAGTGACCCCCTGAGGGGAGGCCCTTATTCGACACTGGCATCTGCCCTGACTGCCCTCTTGGGATGAATTCTCCCAGCCCCTCTGTGTCTGTGCTGCACCTCTCGACTGTGCGTGCAGTGTGTCCACAGCATTCTCTCTTCTCGGACTGGAATGTGCCTTTGCTGGAAGATCAATGAAAAAGGGGTGGAGTGTGGGGAGGGGTGAAGGCCGTGGCTGGTACCTTCTCTCACAGCCTTAAAACACGGTCCAGAGCTGGTGGCCCCACAGCTGTGCTCTGGAAAGAGAGAGCGTACCTAACAGTGCGGCCTCTCAGTGTCTCCGTGTTGCATCAGCAGCCAGCTGGGCAGCAGCTGTCCGTGAGCCCTGCTCCGCCGCCCCGTCCCTGCGCTCCGAGCCCACTTAACCCTTCTCCCCTCTTCTTACAGCGACGCCGCCCCTCCCGGAGAGCCACTGAGCAAGAGCAGCCGGCCCAGGGTGGCCTCCCGCTTCCCCAAGCTGTCCCGCAGCCACCCCAGGGAGACGCGCAACGTGGAGCCCCAGAGCGGCGACCTCTGACCTCCATGGACTCCCAGACTCAGCCTCCGTGCTGCGCTGCTGCCTCCCCGGCCACCTGCCCCCAGTCCGGCCACGGCAGCCGGACCTGCCACCTGGAGTGACAGCCACACGCACCGGTGAACCTGAGAGCACACCTTCCACCGGTCACATGGCACCGATTAAACTGGTCAGACGTGGACACGTGGGCACCACTCTCCCGGGTCTGCCCGAGCAGCCAGGCTTCCTCCTCTCCCTCCAGCCCAGGGGCCGGCGGAGGGCCAGGTGGGCATGGGGCCTCTGGTTCCCTCAGAAACGGCCTCTTGGCTTTTCCCACTGGGAGCTGGAATGACTGTTACAGTCTTTCTCTTTTTCCTGCAACTGCCTGCTGCAGCCTGCGGCCCAGCGGGGGCGGTTTCCTTGCCGTTTCACTCCCCACCAGTAGCCATTAGACACGACCCCTTGTTAGCGCCCCATGGCCAGCCTCAGCTCTGCGGCTTCTCCCCCAGGAGACCCCGGGGCCTGTGTGAGAAGGAGCCCATCGGCGATGCTGAACTGTGGTTCCCGGGTGACGCCTGGCTTCTGGGAGGAGCGGCCCCCAGGAAGCCCAAGGCCCCTGATCCGCAGGCACCTTGTAAGGTTTGGGGGACCTCCCCCAGCCAGCCATCGGTGGCACCATGGTGCCCCCACGGTGGAGCGCCCTGGGCTGCCCAGGAATCGGTGGCCTCGCCTTCCCAGCCGAGAGGCCTTGGGCTGTGAGAGACTTGGTTCTGCAGAGGCTCTTAGGCCCTCGGCCTGCAGACCTGGCCCCCAAGTTCGTGGGCCACCGCATGGCTCGCTGTGAACTGGGGCGCATGTCCACCTTGAACAGATCATGGTCATTCCCTAAGACAGACTGGAGGGCACCAGGCCCCTGGACTGATAAAATGAGAGCGTGGCCTCCCCCTGGCTCCCCCCAGCATTCCAAGTCAGACCCTCCCGGGCCAGGGCCGCCGGCTGTGCAGAATCATGGACTTGCCTCTCCCCTGGGCGCAAGCACTGTGAGGAGGAGGCTGCATTTCTGGGAGACACTAGAAAGCAGGTGCGAGGTTGTTTGTAAAGAGACTGCGCGGGGATGAGTGAAACCTGAGGACAGATCCGTAGGGAACTGGATGACGAACCTGTGAAGGACAGTCAGTGGAGCTCACCACCTACGCGTCCCGGAGCCCTCAGCTCCACTCAGACCTCGGGGGCCCCAGGCGGGCTGTCTCTGGGAGGAAACCCTGTGCAGGGTAGTAAAGGTACCCGTGGACAGGAGAGCCGCCTCCTGTGTACAGCTGAGGTGCAGCTGCACAGCCCGCAGAGCTATAGGCCGGATCCCTTCTGGGGACAGCCAGGTGGGCCGAGGGCCTGTTCTCAGGGCGGCAGGAGTGAGTGGCAGGGGACCCTGCGGTCAGTCCAGGGTCAACCTCCTTCGTTTTAACTCCCAGCCCCACTGCACCCCGGCCCCTGCGGCTGCTCTGGACAGAGCCGCCCTCCGAAATGGGCAGGTGCCCCACTCCAGCTGCCCCGCGCCACACGCCATCTGCTCCACCTCCGTCGCCATGACGGAGCCGAGAGACCTTCCAGCATTGCCGTCTGGACAGCGGAGCCCGCTCCCCGACGTCTCTCCTTCTGGTCGTGTCAGCACCCACCTCAGCGGCCCCACCCGGCACCTGCCCCGAAACACGTCCGCATGCGATCCTCCAGGACCCTGCTCCCACCGCCAGGCGGACAGGTGCTCAGCCTGTACTCAAACAGGAGAAACCCTGCCTCCCATCTTCCGAAGCTGACTTTTTCATGGAAAACTCGCCCTGCTCTCCCACTGGTTGTAAAAGCACATTCCTAGGGCCACACAGGAACTTCGCTGCTTGCTCGTTATACCGTTTTGTGATCATGCAGAAACCCTGGAATCACCTTTAACGTACAGACACCCCGAATTTTAGCTCAGATATGCATGTGACATGCACATTACAGCAACTCCTCAGAGCCTTAACTTTGGAAACAGACTGTTCTGCAGTGATTTAGTCCACTCAGCTGCTGTGCATGTGGAAGGAGGGACTTCCCTGTTCCCAGAGCAGGAAGACAGACCCCGGACCCAGCCAGGTGCACAGATGCCAGCCCCTCGGGACTTTCCCCTGCCCTTCAACCTGGATCCACTTCCGAGGGCAGGCTGCCGACCTCCCTGCGCACCCCCCCCAGCCCGCACCCCCCCCAGCCCACACCCCCCAGCCCGTGACCATCCGCAGAAAGGACGGCCCGCAGTCGACCTGCAGTCGGCTGGGCATGGCTGCTCCAGCTCAGCACCCATCCCCGGCACACGGCTCCGTGAGGGACAGGCAGTCCCTTGCAGTGCGCCTAGCCGCAGTTAGAACAGCCAGCATTTGTCCAGTCGGGCCCTGGGGGAGGAGGTGGCTCTCCCGTCCACAGTGGCACCTTTAATACCCAACAGCTAGGCACACTGGGGTCGCCTGGTTACAGACGGGGTCACCTGACTGAGGAGTGAAGACAAGATACCATTGTGTGAAATCTAGCAGGAGGCGCCAGCGGCGGGAGGGGGGGGTGTGGGCGCGCCTAATCATAGCGCTGGGCTCTGCCCCAGCTGGGAGCATATTAAGATGAGCCCTTTGATAACCACTGGAATTTACCAGGGTGGCAGGTTGTGTGTTGTGCCTGTAACAAAACAGAGGCAATCAAAGCTGTTCACGTCATAGGATCGATAACACCACTGTTACCAGTGGGCGAGGCAGCAGGCCCGGGAGGCCCAGTAGTGAGTCCCCAGGTTTGGAGCCAGCACACCGCCCGCCAGCCAGGTGACGAGACGCAGCACTGCCGGCTTCCAGCACCAGCGTGGCCTCCTTTTTCTCTGGGTATCACATGGGACAGGTTGCCCACCTGAGTACCGGGTCCCAGGTCCCAGGCCTCAGCCCACCCCACCTGCTTGTGGTGGCAGCCCAGAGGTGCTGGCCACCCCTCACCTGGGGCCAGGCTGTTTTCTGGGTCCCAGCAGGGCCTTCTAACCAGTCCCTCCAGAGTCCTTCCTTCCTCCCTCTTGGTACCTCTGCACCAGCCTCAGCATCTGTCCACCGGTTGGCACTTACAACTTGGCAGGCGTGTAACTGACTAAAGAACAGGCTGGCTTTCAGCCTCGCCCTGAGGATGGGTGGGCCCACCTGCCTGAGAAGGGCCCTGCCAGCGGCCACACCTGCAGGACATCAGCCTGGCTAAGGTACCTCCTAGCCGGGCACACCGCCTGTCTGGACCTCTCCCTGGCGGTTCCCTCGGGACGTGGTGCACAATGGACGGCGCCCCAGCCTGCAGGCGGGCCTGGTAGAGGGCCCTTCCCTGGGCAGCGTCTGCCTCTGAGCAAGGGGTTTGCAGCGATCATGTTTCAAATATTGTGCATTGTTTCATTAAAGCTAACCTTAAGTATTTGCTGTTCAGATTAGCTTCTGTGCTATTTTTGCACAATTGTAGCACTGTATATTTTATCTCAGATTTCCGTGCCAAAAGTTCGTTTTCATGTTTCTGTAGCACGCGGTCTTAATTATGTTTCTAAGCTAAAACATCAGCTCCAGGATCGACAGGCACAAGGCTGGAGGCCGACGAGCCCGAGCTCTGAGCGAACCCCCTGCTCAGCCCGCAGGCCCTGGAGTGGCCTCCGTGGTCCGTCTCCTGACTTCTCACCGTTTCCGCCAGAACACTGCCAGTGGATGCTCCTGGCTTCAGTCACGGAGCCCTAAGACCATGTTGAGTGGCTTCCCGACCGACCCAGTCAGCTTCTTTAGGAAAAAATCTGATTTCTCTAAACGATGGCGCCTGGACGACCGTCCACGGTAGAGCATGCTGGAGTCATTAGCATTTCAATGTCCAGGGGTCAGTTCTTACCGGCCCGTGAACATCTTCCCGTCAAAACTGGGAAACCACTAGCTGACCTGTCCAGGCTGCCACCTGCCCATGAGGCCTCTCAGGTGAGCTGTGGAGGGAGAGGCCACTCGCTCACCCTCACAACTGTTTCCACCCGGAGGCCAGACAGGAGCTGCCCTTGCGAAGTCCGGGGCTGGGGACGCGGGAGAGCAGCCTGCTGACCACTCCGAGCTGGCCCTGGGGCGGTTTCTAGGGGTGAGGGGCGGGGCTGACGAGGGTTTCTATTATCTGGATTCATCCTGACCGTCTTCACCTCTGCAGCCTTAGCTCCGCCCCCTGCACAGCTGCTCAGTAAGCGTGGCTTGACTCATCAGATACTGACCTCGGGAGGAGGGGCTGTGGGTGCAGGGGCCACTGTGGGAGGCCTCAGCCTGGGTCCCAGGGACGCTGTCGGGGGTAATACGGCAACGACGTGGAGTCTGGGCTACTATCTGTGCCCAGGCCTGGGCGCGGGCGGGTTCGCTCTGAAACATGTAGTATTATCGTAACTACCCTGTTATGTTAAGGTTTACATGATAGAATTTTTAAACAAATGTGTTTAATTTTCTAAACTCTCTTGTATTAAAATTTTCTTTTGGAACAAGCTGTGGTAATTTTGTTACAATCCGGTGGAGATACACCTCTTTGCAATGGCCAATAAAAACGGTGACATTTTATACATGAAGCACTCAGTTCATGGCCTCTGCTCTGCGCCTCCGTTCCTGTCCGCAGCGGGAGAGGGGTTTTCGGCGCGTTATAAACACCTCTGAAAGCCGCTCACCATTCGACATGATGCACAGGCGAGGATTTGACGGGACTAACATCAGTTTAATTTGAAGTGAAGCAAAGTTTCACCTGATGTATTAGGCAGAGCTGTACAAGCTGCACAGAGAGAAATAAATCCATAGAGAAAAGCCCTCGGTACAGGTTCCTTTTCATTCACTCAAAAACGGGTAGTCATTGAGCACCGACTGTATACCAGGCATCGTGCTAGCACTGGGCATGCGGCAGTGACCAAGACAGAAAGGACGCCTGCCATCCGTGGACTCGCCCAGGACAATAAGAGGATTTCCCCAGACTGTCAGCCATCCAGATCACAGACTGCAGGCAGAGCCAGAAGCACTCCCACGAGCAGGACGGGAGGAAGATGGGGCCCAGGCAGTCTGGCCCTCAGCACTGCAGACGCCTGGGCGGGGTACCTGCCGGCCGTCCTGTGCACTGAGGGGGTTCACAGCATCCCTGGCCGCCTCCCACTAGATCAGTGGTTCTCAACCTTCTGGCCCTTTAAATAGAGTTCCTCATATTGTGACCCCCAACCATAAAATTATTTTTGTTGCTACATCATAACTGTAATGTTGCTACTGTTATGAATCGTAATGTAAATATCTGATATGCAGGATGGTCTTAGGCGACCCCTGTGAAAGGGTTGTTCGCCCCCCAAAGGGTTCGCGACCCACAGGTTGAGAACCGCTGCTATAGATGAAGCCAGAAATGTCTCCAGAGATGCCACAGGTTCCCCCATGAGGTGGTCCCCAGTGAAGACCCGTTGGCAGAAGTGACTGACAGTTAAGCTGTGACCTGCAGAGAGAGAAGGAAATGCTACACCCTCCCCCCACCCCCCCAAAAATAACCTTGACTTAAAAATGCACACCAAACAGCAAGCGACTGAGGAGGAGAAACAGATTCTCAGAGAGCCCAGGGGTGAGGCAGGCTAACTCACACCACCGAACCCCGGGCGGCTTCTGGCCAGGGCCCCACGAGGGTGTCCCTCAGCACAGGCCCCAGCCCGGCCTGAGACAGGACAGACACGGCGTTTAGGGGCCTGCGTGTGGCCAGCCTCCAGTTTACCTGACCCCAGGCCACCACAGAGAAGCAGGCCCTTGCTCTGCACTTGAGCAGACGAGGGAACCCAGCACCGACATGTGCTGCCGGAGGCCCCCAGCCGACGGGGCCACATCCTAGTCTGTCGTGTCCATCTCCCCCTCCCGCCTCCTCCTCCCCCTTCGGCTCTCCTCCCGGAGCCTCGGCTCCCGCGCAGCTCTCCCCCCTCCGGGACCTGCTCCCCGAGCTCTCCCAGGTACAGGCTGTCTGATTTTCCTCCGTTTCCCTATTTTAAACCACGCTGCCTCCTTAGAAACATCAGTTCCTTTGAAGCTCATACCACCTGCCGGTAACACCTCTGCTCCTAGGGACCCGTGAGCTGCTTCTCCTCACTCACGAGGGTCGGCACCCCTCTTCCCAAGGTCAGCACCCTGCAGCCTGAGGATGGGCACCCCTCTCCTCCAGGGTCGGCACCCCACTCACTGGCCTCCCCCCGCTGGTCTCACTTCTCTGAGCCCCCCTCTCCGAGGCTGTTACTTTGTTTTTTAATGTAGTACCTTTAGGTGCCTTTTAAATATATTTTTATTGACTCCAGAGAGGAAGGGAGAGGGAGAGAGAGAGAAACATCAATGATGAGAAAGAATCATTGATCGGCTGCCTCCTGCACGCCCCACACTGGGGATCAAGCACGCAACCCGGGCATGTGCCCTGACAGGGATTTGAACCGTGACCTCCTGGCTCATAGGTCGATGTGCAACCACTGAGCCACACCGGCCGGGCTCAAGGCTGTGTCTTGGCACCACGGGAGCCTCTTCCAGGCGAGGGCAGCAATCACTGCGCCTCTGGGGGGCCTGAGGTCAGATCCCCTCTGACCCAGCTCTGTCCTTACAGTGCATTACTTTGTGGAACGGCAGCAATGCTTCAAATTCCTCAAGACCTTCATCTGTCATTTAACACACACACCTGCCCTAGCCTGCTTGGCTCAGTGGATATAGTGCTGGCTTGCAGAATGCAGGGTTCCAGGTTCGATTCCAGTCAAGGGCACATGCCTGGGTTGTGGGCTCAATCCCCAGTAGGGGGCGTGCAGGAGGCAGCCAATCAACGATTCTCTCTCATCATTGATGTTTCCATCTCTCTCTCCCTTTCCCTTCCTTTCTAAAATCAATAAAAATATAAATAAATACAGCACTGAATTCTCCCAGTGTGACAAAACCAAAAAGAAAAAAAGGGAATAACTTTAAAAAATATATAAATCACACACACACCTGTCCTCACACTCTTTCCCAGCTCTGGATCCCTGGGCCAGGACACCAGGGCTCCTCCCAACGCCCCCAGCCCCTGTCCCGCCTTCACACTTGCTTGGCACAGACCCAGCCCTGTCAAAGCCCAGCCACATAACTTAGGAGATTGGTGCAGTTAGAAGAACTATTAGTTGATGTCTTTGCACGATGTATAAAGGTGGGATTTTGTGACGTCAACCACTGACTGGAGTGGGGACAGCTGTAGGAGCAGAGTGTCTATATGTCACTGAAGTTGGGCTGATAAACTCACTCAACATTAACAGGACGTTAGACGTAATCCTTGCGGTAATCGCAAGGGAAGCAATGCCCATCAAGGGATGGATAAAGAGGGGGTGCATACAGACAACGGAACATGACTCAGCCTAAAAAAGAATGAGACCTCGCCATCTGCAACATGGATGGGCCCAGAAGATATCGTGCAGAGTGAACTAAGACAGATAGAAAGACAAATGCTGCTTATTTGTGATTTCACTTATATGTGGAATCTAAAAACAAATAAACAAAATAAATGAATAAACAAAACATGAACTAGGTCACAGATACAGAGAATAAATTGATGGTTGCCAGATGGAAGGGGGTTGGTGGAATGACAATAAAAGGGAAAGGGTTAAGAAGTACAAATTGCCAGTTATAAAAGCAGACGTCCTACCCTATATAATAAAGAGGGAATATGCAAATTGACTGTCACTCCATCACAAATATGGCTGCAAATACAGCAGAGGCCGAGTTCCCATAACGAGCCTTAACAAGCAATCAGCAGGGACTTGAGGATGCTCCCCATCCCCTCTGTGGGGCTTGACAGGGAACCTCAGGCCATGCCCTCCACCCCAGCGCCAGGGGACCTGAGGCTGCGCCCCCTGCCTGGTAGGGCTTGATGGGGGATCTCAGGTTGCGTGCCCTGCCCAGTGGGGCTTGAAAGGGGACCTCAGGCCATGCCACCCACCCTGGCGCTGGGCCAAGGGACCTGAGGCTGCGCCCCCTGCCCAGCAGGGCTTGACAAAGGTGGGACAGGCAGGGTCTGGATCTAACCCAATGGGGGTGGGCCAGCCAGGTCTGGCTCTTGCATGATTTCGAGACGCATGTGGGTGGGTGAGGACTTGACTCTGGGTCCCATGGTGCACCCCAGACTCTGACAGGAGGAAGATTTTCATATACAGTGGGGCCTTGACTTACGAGTCTAATTCGTTCCGAAACTGAGCTCGTTAAGGAGCTCGTTAACTCAAATTACACTATCAACTCAATGCAAAAAATCAGCCAAGAGACAGCTGGTATCTCAAAAAACTCGTTAGTCGGGACACTCGCAAGTCAAGGCCCCACTGTACATTTTCTTACTAATTTTCTTTCATCTCTGACACTTCTATTATAGAGAAAGGGCAAATAGCAATATTAAAATATTTCCTCTAATTAATCCCCTTTTAATGTGCACAAATTTTGTGCACCGAGCCAAGAGAAAAGCAGTTAGTCTATATATATAAAAGCCTAAGTGACCGAACGATGAAAGACTGATCGCTATGATGCACACTGACTACCAGGGGGCAACACTCAGTGCATGAGCTTCCCCCTGGTGGTCAGTGCGCTCCCACAGCCAACCTCCCGTGGTTCCTCCCCCCCAGCCAGCCAGCCCCAGTTGACCCCTATCGGGACTGGGCGAGAGGGCCCCCATCAGCCCCGATTGCCAGCCAGGCCGAGGGACCCCACCTGTGCACAAATTCATGAACCAGGTCTCTAGTGGGGATATAAAGTACTAGATTAGGGGTGCTGTAATGAGATGTGACACACAAAGGGAAGGCATGTGAGACTCAGGCCAGGACCAAGGGTGGCCACTAGGAGCTAGAAGAGGGAGGAAAGACTCTCCCCGCAACCTTCATGAGGAGCCCTGCTGACACCTTGTTTTGGGATTTGTACCCTCTAAATTGTTAGAGAATACAATTCTGGGGTTTTTTGTTTTGTTTTTTATTGATATCAGAGAGGGAGAGGGAGAGGGAGAGAGAGAGAGAGAAACATCAATGACAAGAGGGAATCATCAATCAGCTGCCTCCTGCACACCTTCCACCGGGGATGGAGCCCACAACCTGGGCATGTGCCCTGACCAGAAATTGAACCATGACCTCCTGGTTCATAGGTCGCCACTCCACCGCTGAGCCACACCTGCCAGGCAAATTTCTGCTATTTTAAGCCACCAAGTTTGTGGTAACTTGTTATAGTACCTCCAGGAAAAACACACTATCTAAATCCATGCACTCTCCCACTCACCCAGGGACTGCCAGCCTCACCTGGAGCCTCCCAACACCCTGCCAGCTATCTCCATCTATCCCTCAACACAGGCACACGCACGCACACACACTTACATGTACATACATGTATACACATTACATGCTTGCACATGTACACACATGTACACATATACACATGGGTACACATACACACATACTTATGCTCACACACTTGCACATATACACACATACTCTTATGCTTACACACATATACACACATGTTTACACACATACGCACATACTTATGCTTACACACTTGCACATATACACACATACTTATGCTTACACAT